TCATTCAAGCCGCCAGTTATTGAGCATTAAACAGTCTGCTGTATAGTTTAGTTATGGACGAGCGTCCTGTCGGCGGTCATGGTGCATATCCAACACCACGTAAGAACGACGTGCATAGCAGGATTGCAGGACGGAATTGGAGTGGTTCCGGTCTTTGATATATGATCGTCCGCTTGTGCTCTAGGCTGAATTTTTGCGTCAAAAAGTGGAAGCTCGGATTCTATCATCTGATCATGTAAGATCACTAACGCTATTCGCACATAGCCGCGTTAATTTTGCCGTATTTTTGGACTAATTTCATTTGTTTGTCGAATTTATCAACTAACTGTGCTGGCACTCAGCTTGGGCTCAGTTCCAAGTTTTTCCAACCTTCAGTTAAAGTACTATGAACTGACGATCACCAGTAGCCTTTTTCAAAAGGTACCTTTCGAGAGAAGTTGAATATGTGATAATACTGTGGTCAAATAGTAAGTACTCATCCAAGCACAACACCGAACTTATCTCCCTAATAAATAAATTCGCAAATTGGACTTTCAGGTAATATGCGAGCAATGAATAAGGGTTCATTTTTGTCACGTGACACCAATAACTACTCGCTTACACTAAATTGTTTTTGTTTTTTGTACTTGGCTACCTTGGCAATCCACACGGCTGGCGCACTGTCCTCTGGATAGTGCTTCCTACGATCGAGGTATGGATAGCCGAATACGCAAAAGAAGCATGAAATAATAATTCCAATCACCCCGTCTACTTGACCAAGGTGTTAGTGGAGCCATCAGTGACTCCTGGACTGTTCATGTTTCGTAACTGTGTTATGTCTCAACCATTTAATAATCTAATACTGCAGAAGCGCCTTGTATAGATTAGTAGTGGGTCTTATTTTAAAAAAGACACGGGGCGGAGGAACGCTGCCCATACCTGGGAGCAGGTAAAGCAACTAGCATTTTCAAAGAATGAGAAAACATCGAGCAGTCTAATTGACTTCTTGGCACGTGGGCAATATGAACCCGTGTAAAATGTCATGTCAGGGAAGATGGATGATCTCGTATTCAAACCGAAGAATCTACCCGCAAAGCATAGTCAAAAACGCAAACTGCGAGTGCGCCAAGACCTAAATGTTGGACATCACTTGTTGATGTCGAGAAGTAAACTATAAATAACCGTTAAACAGTCACAAATTTTCGTTTAAATACCAAATATGTTTATAGTGAAGTGGTATGCAATACATAAATTCCTTTAGACTGTTGTGGATATTTAAAACCGATAGATGTTGGGCAGTTCGTTCACCTGGTAGGATCCTGTTCGGAACTTGTTCCGCTGATTTTAAAAAAATGGTGGTTTATTTTTACACAGAAGAGCAACTACGTCAGAGGCGTGTGACAGTCGAGAGGGTAACAGAATTTGTTCCTCTCAAATGATCGGATATTAACTGCAGAGTTTCTATTGATTCCATATGGAGAAAGAAAGGAAGAGTCAGCCAGAAAGAGGCCTAAGATAATTGGCTCATGATCTTGCAAATTAAAAAAAACTAACTGCATACACCGGGCATTGCGACGTTCCGTACACACTTTTCAGTCCGAGAAGCCTGATTGCTGAGGGTTTCATCAGTTCGTTGACAGAACAAAAGGCGCAGTAGGCGTACTCGGAAGTTCTTCAAAAACACCGCGTAAATTACCACGTTGACTGCATAAGCCAGGTCCTTGAGAGAGGAGAAGAGACGTGACAAGTCGACAATTCGAAGAGCCGCAGCACTGGTGTCATCGCCGTGAACTTCCGTGAAATGCAGCCGAACCAGTACGACAAAGCCTACAGGAACGTAGAGCAGCAGGAAGGCCGTGCTCATTGCCAGGTGTCCTGTGGCCCGGCCTAGTTCGGAGACAACACGAGTTTTGATCTGTAGCTGACGCCGCCGCCACCGATGTATCTGCCAAAGACGGGCGACTATGACGATGTTTAGTGCAAAGATTACCAGGATGGGTAGAAAAAATGTGACGGCAGTACTGAATACAATCGCGAATTTAGCCATCTTTGGATAGTCCCGATTCATCACGCAAGTGTAGTTGGTCGGGATATCGAAGTCAAACTGCAGTTTTTGAATCAGCAAGAAGGGTAAATTCCCCAGAAGCCCAACAAGGAAGACTAAGAGGCAGGCCAGGGTAGCGTACTTGCGATAGAAGAAGGAATTAAACCGCAGCGGTCGGTAGATTGTGAGAGCCCGATCAATAGAAAAGGTGACCATCAAATAGGAGGCGGCAAAATACATAGCATTCGGAAAGTACTCCATCAGCTTGCAGGCCAGGGTAGAAGTAGCGTCCAGCTTTAGTGTAAACTGATTGCCCGTGGCGAATTGTAATCCACGTCCTAAAAAGTCGTCCATGATAGTGTTTAGGATGAGGGACATGCCGTGCGCAATTGCCAAACTGATGGCGAAAATCGAGAATCTGGTTCGGGGCTTCTCGTTGGCAAAGACAATAATGATGAGAAGACTTCCGATCAGACCAGAGACTGCGATAATTGGTGATACATAAGCACGGAAAGCGCCGACAGCAGGACCGAAGTTGGATGAATCAGATTCAAAAGGACAAGCTGGGTGCGGTTCAGTCTGCGACATTTACAGAAAGTGCTCGGCGTAAGCCTTCCAGCGGACCGAGAGCGAGACTCCGCCGAAGCTAGCTTGCGTTCGATTGATCAAGTTGCGCCGTTTATCCGTTGGCGAGAATCAAGCACTTACTCTTTCTGAATATCGATCAGGAGTGACGAAGTAAATAATGACAAGTGGTTATAATCTAGACCACTAATAAACTATTGACCGGTTAAATATGGGAGCAGCGATGCTCATCATTGGCTCAGCGGAGAACGGTGGTAACGCAACTTCTGCTACGAATCTGATCTGAGTACAACTCGATACTTTCGTGTCAGCAAAAAGTGTCAGTACGGATCATACATTTAGGTCTAAAATATCCGCTAATTTTCCCGTTATCTACAAAATTTTCGGAGTGTTCCTGTTTATCTCTTGAGTGTTTATTGTAAAATAGATTTGGCAATCGAGAAATCGTGAAATGCTAAACATTTACATCCCATATGTTCCTGTAGAGTTGACATTTAAAGCGATATAACTAATTTACAAGCCTTATGTTGCTTAATTGTTTTTCAGTATCCTTAGTTAAAATGGCGTAGGGTCGTTATGTCCTGAGGCATACTCTACGATAAAATTTGGCAGCCATTATTAACACACCAATCGGGAAAAAGTGACGAGGGATCTATTCACTTAATTGTTTCAACTTTATTTAGCAAAATCCGAATAGCTCCTTACGTGGAGCATGAAGTAACATTTCAATCAGCCCCACAATCTAACTACTTTGAGTATCTCGAGCGGTAATAAAGAGCAGTAGCTCAGGAGTAAACTGACTAGTTCAATTTTTAAACTGAATAAACCTGTCAGTGAGGAAATGCCGAGTCATTTCTAGTTACTGAAAGAGCGAGACGGCAACGAACTCATTTTTGCAACAAAGAACCTATTCTTTATAACTCAAAACTTATGTGATGGCGC